CTAGTCTACTCTTGGTCGCCCTGCTGCACTGTCTTTAGTCTCCCTTAACGCTTAGAGCCTGTGACAACAGCACTAGTAGATATAACGCCTATTATAAAGCTAGATTTATTAAAGTTGTGGGTGTCTTTATCTAGGATACTATACTTAGCTTTAGTATTCTCTACAAGCTAGAACTAGTTACTAATTACCTTAGGATCCTTACACAGCGCTCTCTTATAGTTATACTTACAATTAAACTTAACTTTAAGCTCTAACGTAAACCCCCAGCACCTGGGCCAACCCAGCACCCGGGCCAAAAAAGCTTGGCAGTACTAACTCACGTTACAACTCTTCAATTTCATCGCTATTTAACATAGAGCCTGCGTACACTGTGCTTGTATCTAATTTAGAATATGCCTCTATATCTTTTTTACACGTTCACGCGTTATGTCTAGTCCCTCCACAGTTTCTACAGCGCTATAGAGCTAGTTAAGCTTGTTCTTGATTACCACTACTATAAGCCTTCTTCGACCGCTTAGAGGCTACAGAGGCCTCTGCGGCCACCTGAGCTGCTGCCTCACCATACTCTATAGTACCACCTTGCTAGATCCGCTTCCTTTTGCGCAATTTCTGCTTAGTTATTACTGCTAATTGCTCTTTAAGCTTAGTAATCTAGGCTGCTTAAAGCACGTTCTGATGCAGCATAAGCTTGCCGCCTCTAACAAGCTAAGAGAAGCCTGCTTGCGCAGTAATAGGCAACTAAGTAAAAGACTTGTGTACAAGCTTTAACTAAGATCTAAACTTATAGGTATTGCTTAGAGTCTTTAACTGCTACAGCGTCTCTAGGAGGAGGGGTTCTAGCAGGGTACGCAGGCGCACTTTAAGGTAATCTAACACAACCTGCGCATTAAGAGGGACTAGCCCTGCTGCCTTAAAGGCCTTGTAACAGTTCTCTGCTATAAATATATTAAAAAACACATCCTTAAAGGTAGGGAGAAAGCCTTCTTTATTAATATAGAAGACACGCTTGCGTGCTAAGTCTTGTTGTCAGATAAGAGCGAGCGGCGAGAGGTCGGATCTGCGCAATCGAGCAGGGACCTGTCGTGCAGCCAATCAGCAGTTGCCAGGTCGATTAAGCGAGACCTGGCAACTCCTGATTGGCCCGCACACCGGCGGCCGCGAACAGCGCTAATTCCCCCCCACTTCAATCCTGTAGCAACCAGCACGACGCCACGGCAGAAACACCATCGCCACGATCATCAATATATCATCATACCACCTAAGATCTCGTTAAGCACATACTCTGGCTCACAGTACGAGCATCTGACAATTAAGAGTCTTACTGCCGCAACCGAACTGCTGCAGTCTCACTGCCGCAACCGAACTGCCGCAACCTCACTGCCGCAATCGAAATGGCGCAACCAGCGTACCGCGACCCAACGACAGTCCTTAGGGACCAAGCCGACTGGACTGGCTGGCTCGCGCAGCTACAGGCGAGATGCCTGTCGCGCAACATCTGGGACAAGATCAACCCAAAGACAACTACACCACTACTATCAAAGCCACTCTCGCCGAGGGCTCCAACTATTACTAACTACGCGCTAGCCGCGAACACCGACATACTGTCAAGGCCAACTGAGCTATCAACAACAGGCCAGAAGGCATTTAAGGAAGACCTTAAGTATTACAAAGTACTCCTCAAACAATACAAGAACAATTAACACGAATATGAGAAGGAGGAAGCAAGCCTTTAGCACATTATTGTGTTCATCCAGTCAACTGTGTCGCCACATCTACTGCGCACATGCTGTCTTCCTGAGAAACTACTGCGACAGTGGATCACAGACCTACAACTCACTGTTGGGGTCGACGAACGAATTGAACAAGAACGAGCCCAAGACAGATACCTCTCAGCACTCAAGCCAATGAGAAGCACGTCACAATGGGATACCTGGCTAGCCGAGTATGACCAGGCAGCTACAGAAGCAGAGACGTACAAAGTCGCCAAATTATCGCAATTAAATGTGATAACAAAGGACTTCCTGACAGCTGTGAACAGGGTCGCGCCTATGTGGGCTACAAGCTTTCAAGATAGCAGACGCTTTGAATCCAGTATGAGTTGGAAGGAGATAATGAAACGCTACCAAGAGCACATGATGATAAATCATCCCCTTAGATTAGGGCGGCACAAGGCCTTTGTGGCTGACGATGCAGTGTTTCTTGCTGAAGGGGGTGCAGCCTCCCAGAGCCATAAAGGGGACGCCCAACATGCTGTAAGCGCGCCATCCAACTGGGGCAGACCTTGATATCAACGTACAGCGGGTAGGAAAACCACCACGCTTAAGCGGCCTTCAGATCAAGAGCCTGCTTCCACTGGGGGAGCAAAATGCCCTGCATGTGGACAACGCCACTCTATACGGGATTGCTACTATGTTAATCAAGACAGAGCTCCTAAGTGGTGGAAACCAAATAAGATTATTTCTGAACTTATTAAGTTTAAGTGTGAGAAAGATGTCACCTTTTAAGGGCTACTTCGCGCACAAAGCAAGAGCCAATCAAGAACACTAGTGGTAAAGCACTCGCACACCCCTACCCTAGAAATCCTAGACAATTGACTAGAAGGCTAAGAAATTGCTGACGTCAAAGCAGCGCTCAGCGCAGCAAACCAACAGGATGCTGCTGACTATCCACTGCGGAAGTCGTTCATACTTGACTCAGGTTCTACCTGTCATATCACCAACGACCCTGACCGCGTCTATGGGTTCCGACAGCCATCGCCCGGAGACTTCATATGGGCTGGGAATTCCAAGGTGCTGGTTAGAGGATATGGATCAATTAATCTACTCCTGAGGAGTGGAGCCAGGACAACCAAGGTCACCCTCACGGACGTGGCAATTTGCCCAGACCTGCTATGCAACCTAGTGTCCTTCTGCCTACTACGAAACAGAGGCATGTGGTGGGACACACAAGCAGACCTAACAACTCTCTAACAAGCAAATGGCCAAGTAATTAGAGTAGTATCAGAAATGCTTAGCTAGTAGGTGCTTGAGTACGAACTGTCTCCACTAGCCGCCAACCACACACACAAAATCACCACACGCACTAAGAGAGGACCACAGAAGGCCTCAGCAATACAGTGGCACAAGCGACTTGGTTACCCTGGTCCTGCTGCAATCGAACACATTGTCCAGCAGACTTAGGGGGTGCGGATCTAAGGCATCACTACAGTCAAATGCAACGCTTGTGGAATAGCTAAATCGCGACGGCAAATCAGCCGCGCACTAAGAATCAACAATGACGGACCTGGAGAAAGACTCAGCGTTGACTTCCACTCCTACAAAGTACAAGGAGTCACTAAAGAAAAGAGCTAGATACTCATCACTAACAGGTTCTCAGGCCTACAGTGGGACCTCTACTTCACAGATCATCGCACAGTGAAGTTAATTATCAAGGCACTGTCAACGTTTATCCTGTTCTTGAAAAATCACTACAACATCTCAGTCAAGACTATTGAGGCAGACAACAAGATAGCCACAGTCAAACCAGGCGTATTGAAATGGCTGGCAACACAAGGAATTATTGTGGAGCCTTCAGCGCCAGACACACAAGCACAGAACGGTAACGCAGAACGCTCAGGGGGTGTGAACAAGGAGAAAGCTCGCGCAATGCGACTTGATGCCAACCTCTCCTGGGAACTGTGGCCAGAAATCACGAGGGCGGCAGTATACCTCTACAATCGAACGCCGAACTACGCAAACCATTGGAAAACACCATACAAAATATTCTTTACGCGAGTTGCCTTTAGCAACAGAATAGTAACATCACTGCGAAAACCTAACCTTGCGCACCTAAGAGCATACGGGTGCAAAGCGTTCGCCATAACAGACAACACACACAGAGGCAAATCACGTCTTCAACAACTAGACCTAAAGGCCTAGATTGGCTATCTAGTGGGCTACTAGTCGTTAAACATCTATTAAATCTAGATACTGTCACTTAGCAAGGTGATAAGCACTTAAGATGTTATGTTTAACAAAGACACAGTATTTAACAGGAGAATTAAGGACCTTATAGAGAACCTCATGCACAACACACTTGAAGAAATAGCAACACATGTGCGATCCATTGAGCTACCAACGCCTACCTAGCAACCAGAAACAGATTCCTTTTATGAGGATGAAGCCCTAGCAGAGCCATCACCACAAGACGAAGCAGACCTGCCAGGCTACTATCACGGACGGAAGATACAGGATAGCTATCCTACCCCTCCATCAACACCGCCACCTGCAGCACTACTTGCAGGCATTATGGCCAGTGATCAAACAACTCTGACGCAACAAGCGTCCTCAACTACTGTCCTGTGGGCAGCATCATTCCTTGCGGGAACCCAAGCTGGACGTGTTGGAACATACAGAGGAGAAGTCATAGACAAGGCTAAGATGATAAGAATGCTTGCCAAAGGCTTGAAGCCCTATCAAAGTCAACTTCCACCTCTGCCCACGTTCCAAACCAAGCTTGAGGATCACCCTATAGGTAAACTCTTTCAAGAAGCCAAGTGAGAGCACCTCGCAAGCTACCAAGAAATGAAATCATAGTTAGAAGTACCACTTCAGAAAATCAGACTAACAGGACAACAGATCCTTGACTGCATGTAGGTATATACCTATAAGCTTAATAGACATCATTGACTGCTGAAGTGCAAGGCGCGACTGGTAGTCAGAGGCGATCAACAACGCAATATTACATCACAAGACACCTACGCAGCCACGCTTGCCAGCTGATCCTTTCGAACAATGATGGCTATGGCAGCTCACTATAACATGGAGCTCAAACAATACGACGTTACCAACGCGTTTGTTCATGCTACAATGGACAGAGAGGTCTACATGAGGATGCCACGAGGCTATCAGAAGCCCGGCACGATACTGCAAGTAAACAAGGCACTTTACGGCCTGCGCATCTCTCCCCTCCTCTGGCAGAAGAACTTCACTGCAACACTAAAAGCACTAGGTTTCCAGACTGTGCCTCACGAACCCTGCTGTCTAACTAAGGGCAGCATTATTATCTTCTTTTATGTTGACAATATCATCCTCGCGTACAATAAATTAAAAGAGCAAGAGGCAATGCAGACAATCAGCCACGTACAGAGCAAGTACACCTGCATAGGAGGGCACGACCTACAGTGGTTCCTCAGCATGGAGATCATACAAGACCAAGCAAGCAAGAAAATCTACCTATCTTAGGCAGCGTACTCAGACAAAATTAGTCGCCT